ATGGTCAAGGGATTAGTGGGGTGGTGGTCAAAAGGTCAGTGGTCAAGTGGTGAAGGGGGCAGTGGTCAAAATATCAGTGGTCAAGTGGTCAAGGGGTCTGTGGTTAAGGGGTCAAGGGGTCAGTGTTCAGTGGTTTAAGGGACCAGTGGTCAAGTGGTCAAAATATCAGTGGTCAAGTGGTCAAGGGGTCTGTGGTTAAGGGGTCAAGGGGTCAGTGTTCAGTGGTTTAAGGGATCAGTGGTCAAGGGGTCAAGGGGTCAGTGGTCAAGTGGTCAAAGGACTAGTGGGGTGGTGGTCAAAAGGTCTTCGGTCAAGTGGTGAAGGGGTCAGTGGTCAAGGGGTTATGGGGTCAAGTGGTCAAGCGGTCATTGGTTAAGGGGTTAAGGGGTCAGTGGTCAGAATATCAGTGGTGAAGTGGTCAAGGGGTCGGTGGTTAAGTGGTCAAGGGATCAAAGAGTCAAGGGGCCAGTGGTCAAGGGGTCAAGGGTGGGATGTGGTCAGTGTTCAAGGGGTTAAGTGGTCAAGGGGTCAAGAGGTCAGTGGTGAAGTGGTGAAGGGGTTAAGGGGTCAGTGGTCAAGGGATCAAGGGGTCAGTGGTTAAGGGGTCAGTGGTCAAGGGGTCAAGGGGGCAGTGGTCAGTGGTTAAGGGGTCAGTGGTCAGAATATTCGTGGTGAAGTGGTCAAGGGGTCAGGGGTGGGATGGGGTCAGTGGTTAAGTGGTCAGTGGGGTGGAGGTCAAGGGGTCAGTGGTCAAGGGGTCAAACTATCAGTGGTGAAGTGGTCAAGGGGTCAGTGGTCAAGGGTTAAGGGCTCAAGTGGTCAATGGTTAAAGGGTGATGGTCAAGGAGTCAAGAGATGAAGTAGTCAAGTGGACAGTGGTCAGGGGTTAAGTGGTCAAGTGGTCAAGGGGTCAAAATATCAGTGATCACTGGTCAAGGGGTCAGAGGTCAAAGAGTCATGGGGCAGTGGTCAAGGGGTCAGTGGTTAAGCTGAAGGGGTTAAGAGGTCAAATGGTCAAGGGTGGGATGGGATCAATGGTGAAGTGGTCAAGTGGTCAAAGGGTCAAGAGGTCATTGGTCAAGTGGTCAAGGGTGGGATGGGGTCAGTGGTCAAGTGGTCAAGAGGTCGAGGGGTCAAGGGGTCAGTAGTCAGGGGTGGGATGTGGTCAGTGTTGAAGTGGTCAAGCGGTCAAGGGATCAAGGGATCAGTGGTTAAGGGGTCAAGAGGTCAAGGGGCCAGTGGTCAAGTGGTCAAAATATCAGTGGTGAAGGGGCGCAGTGGTCAAGGGGTCAGTGGTGGGATGTGGTCAGTGGTTAAGGGGTCAAGGGGTCAAAATATCAGTGGTGAAGTGGTCAAGGGGTCAGGAGTGGTAGTCAAGGGGTCAAGTGGTCAAGGGGTCAAGGGTGTGGTGTGGTCAGTGGTTAAGGGGTCAGGGGTTAAGGGGTCAGTGGTCAAGGGGTCTGGTCACAGGATCAAGGGGTCAAGGCGTCAAGGGTGGTGGTCAATGTGGAGGATGGACAATGGACGAGGGGTGATGGTCAGGATGACCACGATGGACCATGGGTGACCCCGCTGACCACCAAAACCCCACAACCACCCCTCAAGATGACCATGCTGACCACCAAGAACCCACAATGGACCCCAGGATGACCACGATGACCACAAACACCCCACCAGGGCTCAAGAATGGTGTCCAAGATGACCACGATGACCCCAAGATGACCATGAAGACCCCATGATGGACCCCAAGATGACCATGACGACCACCAAAACCCCATGATGACCCCAAGATGACCACAATGACCATGATGACCACGATGACCACAATGACCACCAAGACCCCACAATGGACCACAAATACCCCTCAAGATGACCACAATGACCACGATGGACCACAATGGTCCCCAAGATGACCACGATGATCACCAAGACCCCATGATGGACCACAAGATGACCACAATGGACTGCAGATGACCACAATGACCACCAAAACCCCACAATGGACCATGATGGACCCCAAGATGACCACGATGACCACAATGACCCCAAGATGACCACGATGACCACAATGACCACCAAGACCCCACAATGGACCACAAACACCCCCCAAGATGACCACGATGACCACCAGTGGTCAAGGATGGTGTCCAGGATGACCACGATGACCACAAATGGTCCCCAGAACCTCCCTGATGACCACCAGGGGTCAAGGATGGTGTCCAGGATGACCATGATGACCACCAAAACACCATGATGGACCACAAGATGACCACAATGACCCCAAGATGACCCCAAGATGACCACAATGACCACGATGACCACCAAGACCACACAATGGACCCCAAGATGACCACGATGACCCCAAGATGACCCCAAGATGACCACAAAATGACCACAATGGACCCCAGGATGACCACAATGACCACCAGGGGTCAGGGATGGTGTCTAGGATGACCACGATGACCACTAAACCCTACGAATGAACCCCAAGATGACCACGATGACCACAATGACCACCAAGACCCCACAATGGACCACAAATGGTCACCCAGATGACCACAATGATCACCAGGGGTCAGGGATGGTGTCCAGGATGACCACGATGACCACCAAAACCCCACGATGACCCCAAGATGACCATGATGACCACCAAAACACCATGATGACCCCAAGATGACCACAATGACCATGATGACCATGAAGACACCACAATGAACCACAAATATCCCCCAAGATGACCACGATGACCACAATGGACCCCAAGATGACCATGATGACCCCAAGATGACCACGATGACCACAATGACCACCAAAACCCCACAATGGACCACAATGGACCCCAAGATGACCCCAAGATGACCACAATGACTCCAAAATGACCACAATGACCACAACAGACCACAATAACCCTCAAGATGACCACCCCACACCCATGTCCACCCCTCAAACTGACCGTCACGTGCTCGTAGTCCTGTCCGAGCTCGGGCGATCCGGCCACCACCTCCTTCTCGGCCATCCAGTGCTCGAGTTCGGCCACCTGCCGGCCGAGCTGGAATAGCCAGTACTGCTGCTCCAGGTGGACCTTGCGCTCGTCCACCAGCTCCTTCAGCCCCACGTAGAGGCGGTCAACGCGGGACTGCCGCCGGCTCACCTGCTCGCTGGACAGATGGACATTGGGCAGAGTGACCAGAGTGACCACAGTGACCGATATCTCACAATAGATATGGATATTCAGAATGGGAATGGACATTGAGTGGACATTGAGTGGACATTGAGTGGTCAGTGTGGTCAGAGTGGTCAGTGGGGTCAGAGTCAACGCGGGACTGCCGCCGGCTCACCTGCTCGCTGGACAGATGGACATTGGCCAGAGTGACCACAGTGACCACAGTGACCGGTATGTCACAATAGATACGGATATTCAGAATGGGAATGGACATTGAGTGGACATTGAGTGGTCAGTGGGGTCAGAGTGGTCAGTGGGGTCAGAGTCAACGCGAGACTGCCGCCGGCTCACCTGCTCGCTGGACAGATGGACATTGGGCAGAGTGACCACAGTGACCACGGTGACCAGAGTGACCAATGTGTGACAATGGATGTGGATATTCAGAATTGGAATGGACATTGAGTGGACATTGGGTGGTCAGTGTGGTCAGAGTGGTCAGTGGGGTCAGAGTCAACGCGCGACTGCCGCCGGCTCACCTGCTTGCTGGACACATGGACATTGGGTGGTCAGTGTGGACAGAGTGACCAGAGTGACCACAGGAGTCAGCAGAGTGACCACGGTCATCGATGCGTGACAATGGATGTGGATATTCAGGATGGACAATGGAATGGAGGTTCATGGTGGACAATGGAATGGATATTGGGGTGGACAATGGAATGGTCATTGGGTGGTCAGAGTGGTCAGTGGGGTCAGCAGAGTGACCACAGTGACCGATATCTCACAATAGATATGGAAATTCAGGATGGGAATGGACATTGAGTGGACAATGGACATGGAGCTTCAGGATGGACATTGGGTGGTCAGTGTGGTCAGTGTGGTCAGAGTGGTCAGAGTGGTCAGCAGAGTGACCACAGTGACCACAGTGACCAATGGGTGACAATGGATGTGGAGGTTCACGATGGACAATGGATGGACAATGGAATGGACATTGGATGGACAATGGAATGGATATTGGGGTGGATATTGGGTGGACACTGGGTGGTCAGTGTGGTCAGTGTGGTCAGTGTGGTCAGTGTGGTCAGAGTGGTCAGCAGAGTGACCACAGTGACCGATGTGTGACAATGGATGTGGAGTTCAGGATGGACAATGAAATGGACAATGGAATGGATATTGGAGTGGACATAGAGTGGACATTGAGTGGTCAGTGTGGTCAGTGTGGTCAGAGTCAACGCGGGACTGCCGCCGGCTCACCTGCTCGCTGGACAGATGGACATTGGACAGAGTGACCAGAGTGACCACAGTGACCGGTATCTCAGAATAGATGTGGAAATTCAGAATGGGAATGGATATTGAGTGGACATTGAGTGGACATTGGATATGAACCTTCAGGATGGACAACGGAATGGTCATTGGGTGGTCAGAGTGGTCAGAGTGGTCAGTGTGGTCAGCAGAGTGACCACAGTGACCGATGTGTGACAATGGATGTGGAGTTCAGGATGGACAATGGAATGGACAATGGAGTGGACAATGGAATGGATATTGGAGTGGACATGGAGTGGACATTGGGTGGTCACTGCGGTCAGTGGGGTCAGAGTCATGCGTGACTGCCGCCGGCTCACCTGCTCGCTGGACAGATGGACATTGGGTGGTCAGTGTGGGCAGAGTGACCAGAGTGACCACAGTGACCGGTACACAACAATGGACATGGAAATTAATGGTGGGAATAGAATGGACATTGGGTGGACAATGGATGGACAATGGATGGACAATGGAATGGATATTGGAGTGGACATTGGGTGGTCAGTGGGGTCAGAGTGGTCAGAGTGGCCAGAGTGGTCAGTAGGGTCAGCAGAGTGACCACGGTGACCGATGTGTGACAATGGATTTGGATATTCAGGATGGACAATGGAATGGACAATGGATGGACATTGGAATGGACAATGGAATGGATATTGGAATGGACATTGAGTGGTCAGTGTGGTCAGTGTGGTCAGAGTGGTCAGTGTTGTCAGCAGAGTGACCACAGTGACCGATGTGTGACAATGGATGTGGAGTTCAGGATGGACAATGAAATGGACAATGGAATGGATATTGGAGTGGACATAGAGTGGACATTGAGTGGTCAGTGTGGTCAGTGTGGTCAGAGTCAATGCGGGACTGCCGCCGGCTCACCTGCTCGCTGGACAGATGGACATTGGGCAGAGTGACCACAGTGACCACAGGAGTCAGCAGAGTGACCATAGTGAACGGTGTATGGATATGGACCTTTAGGATGGACAATGAGTGGACAATGGAATGGATATTGGAGTGGACATTGAATGGACAATGGAATGGACATTGGAATGGACATTGGAATGGACATTGTGTGGTCAGAGTGGTCAGTGGAGTGACCACAGTGACCGATGCATGGACATGGAGCTCCACGATGGACAATGGACATGGAGGTTCAGGATGGACAATGGAATGGACATTGGAGTGGTCAGTGGATGGTCAGAGTGGTCAGTGGGGTCAGAGTCAATGCGCGACTGCCGCTGGCTCACCTGCTCGCTGGACAGATGGACATTGCGGTGGTCAGTGTGGACAGAGTGACCACAGTGACCAGAGTGACCCGTGTATGGATATGGAGTTTCACAATGGATATTGGAGTGGACATTGGGTGGTCAGTGTGGTCAGTGGGGTCAGAGTCAACGCGGGACTGCCGCCGGCTCACCTGCTCGCTGGACAGATGGACATTCAGTGGTCAGTGTGGGCAGAGTGACCACAGTGACCACGGTGACCAATGTGTGACAGTGGATGTGGATATTCATGGTGGGAATGGACATTGGGTGGACAATGGATGGACAATGGAATGGACATTGGGTGGTCAGTGTGGTCAGTGTGGTCAGAGTGGTCAGAGTGGTCAGCAGAGTGACCACAGTGACCGATGTGTGACAATGGATGTGGAGTTCAGGATGGACAATGGAATGGACAATGGAATGGACAATGGAATGGACAATGGAATGGATATTGAGTGGACATTGGGTGGTCCGGCTCACCTGCTCGCTGGACAGATGGACATTGGGCAGAGTGACCACAGTGACCACTGCATGGATATGGAGCTTTAGGATGGACAATGGAATGGACAATGGAATGGACAATGGAATGGATATTGGAGTGGACATTGGGTGGACAACGGACATGGACATTGGGGTGGACATGGGGTGGACATTGAGTGGTCAGAGTGGTCAGTAGGGTCAGCAGAGTGACCACAGTGACCGATGCATGGATATAG